GGCAGTAGCTCTCTTGAATTCTACTGTTTAGTGCAGTGTTGTTGTGGTGTCAGGGGTTTTCAATTCCATGCATGGAGTGTGAGGGATGTGTGTTTGTGTTTATTTTCTTGGTCATGATGTGCACTGAAGATGGTGTTTGATTTCGTTGTATGAGGTGCAATGACAATAAAGTAAATTAAACTAAACTAAAACATATTGCCCCCAACAATCTGGGTCCTCATTTTACTTGACCTCGGAAGGATGGAAGGCTGAGTCTGGTGAGACTCGAACTACCAAACTGCTGGCAGCCAGCAGTCAGCAAAAGTAGCTTGTAGTCGCCAAGCTATCCCTATCGGTGTTGTGTAGCTGTGTTGAACACTCGTGACCAATTGATAGTGAACGGTTTTGCCTTTGTCGGGCAATATTTGTGAGCAGGTCTCATATCAGGCTGTATCCTTGAGCTATTATCAGGCCATCAAATTACACATTGTTTTAAAAATGGATAGCATCCAACTTTTTTTTTTTACTGTGTTTTGCAATGGATGAGAGGTTATTTTTTGATTGCATCTGCTCTGCGGGCAGAAGTTTTTAATCCTTTCCTCCTGATATGTGCTTCACAAATAAGCACATTAGATTCTTTGTACAGTTATATAATTTGGGGAAGGGGAGTCATTGACACCAAATCCTCCCCTACTCTTAGAGAGTGAGAGAAAGCAAGGGAGGAGAAAGAGAAAAAGAGAGATATGTCCAAAACAGTTCTACTATATTTTCCCCCTGTCGGTTCTCGCTCAGTTTTAATGATACTTTTTATTCATTACAATTCAAAGCAGAGCTTTTCACAAATGGGAGAACGACATTTGTTGAGTCATTTAGCTTAGTGGCCAAGAGATCAATGCGAATGTCCTATTTTTCTTTGCCCTCTCATCTCTCCAGTGCTCTGCAGCCATTCTGGCTTTCAACACTTCCCTTAATTCCCTAAGGAAGGGACAGTTTCCATGGGTTGGCTGTGAAGAATTCAGAATGAAGTAGAAAGAGGCCATGGAAGACAGTAGCAACCATCACTTCCAAAATCTCACTGAGAAAAATTAAAAGGAATTGTCCATTTTGCCTGAAACTGATAAAAAAAAAAGCCTGAAGTTTCTTCCACAGGTTAAAAAAAGACCTCTAGATCAGGGGTCCCTAACCTTGGCAACTGTAAGACTTGTGGACTTTGGCTCCCAGAATTCTGTGAGTTGAAATCCACAAGTCGTGAAGTGGCCAAGGTTGGAGACCCCTGCTCTAACAAAATAACAAAGTAGATTTCATTATAGAACGGTAGTCAAATCTTTAAATCAACTGGTCCTGTTGTGCAGCCGGAACAATCTGGAATTTGTTATCTTATTATTGTATTTTATGATTTATCACTTTGCTGTTTGTATGTTCACTGGGAGCTTATGCACGAGAGACAAATTCGTTATATGTCCAGTTACACTTGGTCAATAAAGAAGATTCTAAAGCTCACATCCTCTACGGTGATCCATGGGTACCAACCAAATCACAAAAATAGTCTTTAGCTCTCACCTGGCTCCCTAACACTTTTTAAAGGGGGAGTTGGCACACCATGGTGCCAGTCTCCAGAGCCATTTTCATTTGTCGGAATGGTTTGTTGGTAAATAAAGGACACTAGTAGGAACAGGTACCAACAGAAGAGGATATCTTGGCTCAGGGTTGAACTGCGGAGTCCTTGGAGCTCTCTGAGTTTGGTTGTTTCCTTGCAGATGTTTCATGACCCAACTAAGTAACATAATCAGTGCTAGAGTAGTAGGTGTATGCAGGTAATTTGAGAGTCAGTTTGGTGTAGCGGTATCAGGCTAGAAACTGGGAGACCAGGAGTTTTAGTCCTGCCTTAGGTTTGAAGCTAGATGGATAACTTTAGGCCTGTCCCAGGGGTGGGCTTCAAAAATGTTAGCAATGAATTCTCTGCCCGGTTGCTGGATGGGCGTGGCCATGGTGGGCATGGCCTAGTTGGCCTCTTGCACTACGGTGGTGCGCGTGTGTATTTGCCGTCCCAAATCACAAAATGATCCACGGACCGGTACTGGCATCAGCACGCACGACCAAGGCAAGGTGAGCCGAGCGACCAGCCAGCCAGCCGTCCCCCGCTTCTGCCCGCCACCTTCAACTCCTCCTTTGTACCTTCTTGTGGTCGATGGGCTTTTCGGGCTCTTTCTTAATCTCCTCCTGAGTAACGAGAGACTCCACCACCATCGGGACGGCTCTTCGTTCGAAGCTGCCCCCCACCTTTGATGAAACTAAGGCGCGAGGATTCCTTCAGCACCCAAACGCCGCTTTCCAACAACCGAGGACCGACAAGCTCACCCGGAAGCACTTTCTCAAGCGCCGTCAAAACAAGATGGTGGCGCCCAAGCAAAATAGGCGGCCCAGTACAAAATTATCCACGGACCGGTATCGGTCCGGGGCCCGGTGGTTGGGGACCACTGGTCTAAAAACAATAGTTAAACAGTAAATGGTAGAGTTTCCAAAAAGGCTAGAGGAAATGTTTCAAAGCAACTGAGGAGAGGTTAGGAAGGATGCTCAGGGCGAAAGCCATGCTTTCTCGATGCTTTGTCTTTGTTTGTTTGAAGCCTGTCTCTGTGTAATTAGAGTGAGCAAATATGTCATCTAGGATCATCTCTGTCTGTAGGTTAGATAGACAGTTGAAAATCACCCTGCCCAAAGTTAATAGTAAAACCATTTTTGTATAACGGCCCCCCAAACCTGCACAGTTGTGTCCTAGTCAGTAGTCGTCAACCAGTGGGCTGGGGACCACTGGTGGTCCATGAGAAAATTTTGGTGGTCCACAAAGAAATGTCATCCCCCCAAAGCAATTAATCCAGGCTGCGCCACCCACATGGCCTGCGGGAACACAAGGCTTGTGTCACTTGCATTGCGAACCACACAAGGTAGTGAGGGGAGGGAGGAAAGGGCGGAGTGGGGAACTTGCCCCACGCGCCTGGCCTGGCCACCGGGCTGCTTTTTTTCGCTTCTTTCTTCTTCTGCTTTTGGCGGCACGCAAGGAAAGCAGCAAAAGTCTTTCTTTCTCTCCCCCAAACTCCACCAGAAATGAGTCTTTGGGACCCCGCAAGGCTTCCTGTTCCAAGAGGCTGTGCCGGCACGACAAGTCTCACAAAGACTCATTTCTGGCGGAGTTTGGGGAGAGAAAGAAAGACTTCTGCTGCTTCTGCTGCTTTCCTTGCATGAAGCCAAAAGTCTCTCCCCCCCACCCTCTGAGAACAGAGCTGGAGATGGTGTCCTGCAATCCCAAATAAAGAACGATCAATTGGTAGGAAAACGGGGTGGGGGATTTTTCTGCAGACTTTTGGGGGGGGATTTTCCCAGGGTCTTTGGTTCGCAGGATTTAAAATTATGAGTCCCTGAGGTCCAAAAGGTTGTCCTCCTTCCAGTCTACTGGTGCTGGAACAGCCTTGGCATCTAATGGAGATACAAACTTTAAGCCAAGGTCTTCATAGTGGGGATTTAAAAATAGCTGTCTATGAGAAAGCATCAATTTGGCTTATTTTCCAGTGGGAGAAATATATAATTTACTGGTTTTTCAAAGACTATTTTAAACAAATTCCATCAGTTCTAGGCAGCATCTGCCATGCCTTTAATATCCATCTGTTCAATCATTAATATCATTAATAATCCATCCATTAATCTATTTGCTCCATACATTTGTTTGGAATAATCTTATTAATGCATCTAACTGATATTAGTTTTAGTTTCCCCTAATTGTTCTGATTAATTAATAATGGATAGCCTCTTATTAATCTGCAGTTTCCCTTTTCTTTACTGTTTTTTGAAGACTCCGGGGGAATAGTTTTTATGAAAATGCAAATTTTCACTGTGTATATGTACGCAATATATAAGCTTAAAAGTTGTAACTTGCTCTTATAAAAAGTAGAAAGGAAGCAGTATTTTCTGTTATGTGGCTTATTTTTGTGGGACAGTCTCCCCGTTAGGAATAGAGGAGAAATGACTCATATTTTATTCACATTTTAAAGTAGAAGAACCAAAGTTGTAGTCCCCCAAAATATAATGAAGTAGGGTTCACCATCGTGCCAACGTTTACCATTTTTGGGATCTCCCGAAATGTGTATTAAAAGTACACATATTAGGGGAAAAAACCACACATACACACATGTTCCACTTAAATTAGGTAAAATTGTTTGGCAAAAAAACAACAACAAAAACCTAGGAAAAATATACACATCTATCTGTGAAGGGATCCTTTCTAGTTTTCTATGAAGGGAGAGTTTTCATCCCAGCTGATATCGGGTGGCCAAAGTCAGACAGCATGAATTGAGTCACTTAACAAAATCTGATCCCAATTGTGGTCATAAATTGAGGATTATTATTGTTTTATGGGTGTTGAAATCTGGTCAAAACTGGAAGATCAGTAATGTTTGAAATTTAGTCTGATTTGTTAATGTAAGTTTAATTCCCGTTCTCTCTCTCTCTCCTCTCTCTTTCCCTTTCTCTTTCTTTTTCTTTTTCTCTCTCTTTCTCATTCACTTCTCTCTTTTTTCTTTTTTTTCTTTTTCTTTCACTCTTTCTCATTCCCTTTCTCACTCTCTCACTCTTTCTCTTTTTGTTTCTCTTTCTCTCTTTCCCTTTCTCTTTTCCTTTCTCTTTCTTTCTCTTTCATACGCTCTCTCTCTCTCGTTCTCATTCCCTTTCTCTCTCACTCTCTTTCTCTCTTTTTGTTTCTCTCCCTTTCCCTTTCTCTCTCTCTTTTTGTTTCTCTTTCCCTTTCCTTTTCTCTTTTTCTTTCCCTCTCTCTCGCTATCTCTCTCTTTCTCATTCCCTTTCTCACTATTTCTCTTTATTTGTTTCTCTTTCCCTTTCTCTCTCTTTTTGTTTCTCTCTTCTT